AAAATAACTAGTTTTAGAATTAGTGCCTTAAAGTAGCATGACTCAAAACATGACTTGAAATTTGTCCAAGTTTAAAAATCTTAACTCATTTAAAAAATGTTTTTCTAAAAAAAAATTCTAACTATAAGAATATAAATAGGTAAGTGAATAAAATTGTAAGCACTATCAAAGCAGCTATAGCTATTGAGAATTTCATTTAAAAAACGATGCTTATCACCGTGCATTCACAGGGTATTCTTTACAAAGCTGTGAAGATTCTGCTCGGGGAATATAATTTGAACTCGTACATGATACGCATGGCTTCACACGTTATGCCTTATAGTTAGTTCATCTCCTAAGTTATAAGGGGAAACAAGATAGTCCTGTGTCAACCTGTCACTGAAAGACACACTGAATATGTACCTATAGAGTTACATGTATACATAATCACCCATCCAAGTTTTCATATCACATGGGAGATGCCATTAACAGAACAACAAACAGTAACAACAACAAAACGCTTGGTAAAAGTTACACCAATTAGGAGCCTACTAAATCAAAGTTTTGATTCAAAATTTGCAAATATCTGAAATTTGTCTGAACTTCGCAAAAATCACTTTGGCAGGATTATCAAGTAAGCCAGTTTAAAAGATATGATGAAAAGACTATGCCAGGAACTTAGAGCAGCAGCAACACAGGCAGTTGGCACGCTGAAAATACACTGTGCTCACGATGGAGGACCTCCTAAAATATAACTATAAAAACCTTCAGGACCACTTTATAATGTCCAGTTATGCCACCCTGTCCCTGTGTGACCAACTAGACACCTGATTTGCCTTACTGGCTCTAAATTTTCTAGTTGCTCATTTACCTGGATGTTTACGTATTTGTATATCTCCTAATAGCTGAATTCAATTATTCTGCTAGGTCGTTAGAGGCTCTTTAAATGTGTTCACTCAGGATCCTTGATTCCATGCTGCTCTGCAGTGGAATCTGACCCCTGATGTGTCTACAACAAATCTGATTGGCTGTGCTACCTGTATACACAAACGTGTATAATAGTGAAATGAATCCTTAATTATCTTTTTTTTTTTTCAACGTTTATTTATTTTTGAGACAGAGAGAGACAGAGCATGAAGGGGGGAGGGGCAGAGAGAGAGGGAGACTCAGAATCGGAAACAGGCTCCAGGCTCTGATCCATCAGCCCAGAGCCCGACGCGGGGCTCGGACTCACGGACCGCGAGATCATGACCTGGCTGAAGTCGGACGCTCAACCGACTGCGCCACCCAGGTGCCCCGAATCCTTAATTATCTTAAACAAAACTGCGTAATTTGATAAGCAAACAAGTGACTAAAGTTTTCAAAGGTAAAAAAAAAAATGCTAGATTTTCAGAAAATAGACAGTAAATATAAAGGTTATATAGCCCTTCCTCCAACATCTGAAAAATGAATGGACTTTTAAAAAAGAATAATTCAGTAAGCAATAGTCATTTTGAGTTGATCACATGGTGAAAACATATTTTTGTGATAGCATAAATTACTTGACATCACAATAAAATACATTCTGTAGAGTTTCTTTAAATCAACTACCTATATTTTAGTTGAGCCATTATTACTGAAGAAAATAGGTAACTTGCCAATTTACTGTTATTTGAATCATTTCTTAAATACAATTTTCTAATGGCAGCTTGCAGGGTTGACATTTTTCTTTCAGTTTTTTTCTCTTTGGTATCCCTTTCACAAGTCATAAGGAAAAAAAAAATCCTTTCCAGCATAAAATAATCTCTTTTCAAATGTTCAGGGTGTCTGAAATAGCCAAAACACTCAAATCTACAGTGTGTAAGCAATCTAATTCTCAATCTGAATGTATTCTTAGACTGTTGTAAATTGTTATTGCGAGTATAGAACCAAAATTAAGTTAGAACGATCAAGCGCTTAAAATATTGTTTAATTTATAAACTAACACACATTATTACAGCTTCTGCTCTCTTATTGTTACCATTCTATTCCCAACATACTTAATATATACATATATTCCTAATTATCATGTATTCTGACTTTACTTAGCAACACATCTATTATGACAAAGAATTCTGTTTTCATGTAGTAAATTTAATCTAATTACTTAAACTTTGAAATCAATAACACGCCACTGAAATACCATCAGCTAATTTTCTTCCTATTACCTTTAGTAATATGCCAACTTATTTCTTTTGCATAAGTACTGTCTTGAACTGTTCAACTTCTGTTTTTAATGAAACAAATTCTCCTCTTCTAAGTAGAAGTCTGCTATGGACGTAAGTCACCTGGGAGCCTGGCCAAAGTCTGAAACAGCACAGCTGAAGGGTACAGCCATTTCACAGGGTCCTCTCAGAGAGTATTTGGTTTGCTTTCCTAACTTGCTAAAAATAGTAGATTACACAGGCTACCTCCATCTCACGGCTCAAGAAGTCACAAAAGGCTGGACTATGGATTGTAGACATACATACAACACATTTTATTAAAGAAGTGAGAATATTACACGTTTTCTAAATTCCTTCCGTTTACTCTCCGAGACAACACAAATGATCTCGTGGTTATTGGCATGGAATTATGCTCCTAAGGCTTCCAAATTTCAGAACTTCAAGCACGAGTCATGGAGTTACCTTAACTATTTTAAAATACGTTTTTGATCTATTTTAGTCACCAAATTGAATACAGCAAGACAGCTATCTAAAAGCCAGGCCTCTAAATACTGTACTAAGAATCACAGAATGTGCTAGTTATAAATACATGTCTACCAAAGGTGGGTTTGGAAACATGAATACGTAATTACATATTCAAAATGTGTTAAATGAATTCTTAATATAGTCATTTCACTAACATTTCAGGAGCTATTGTTCCTGCTATGAACCTCCACACAAAGTTGTGTTTATGTTTTTCCTCTTGTTCAAATCAAAATATTTTACCAAGTTTTAGACACTATAAATTAAATTTTAGTTTCTCATAGAAACAAAGAATGAGGACAACGTTTGCATTGATTAGCTGCTATAGTGCGTTCATTTCATAAGTAAATTTAAATCTTAAAATTACTTGCTATTAAAAAAAAAAAAAAAAGTCCTTGATGTGGCAGTTGAATCTTGTTAACCACACAGCAATGCTGCCGTTTTACTCAAAGGGAGCCTGTTCTGTGTCCACAAGTGAGCAGCCACTAAAAAAATATTTTGAGATGGAAAAATAGCAACTGAATTTTAATGTTTCACAATGTTTCCAAATGCTGGGGAGGCAGGTCTTCTGTGAAACCACTCAATGTCACAGCCAAGTTTGATGTCCTTCATTTTGTAGCTACGAGTGCACCATCAACTGTCTGTAGGATTAAAAATTGGATTTACTAGTAATTGGGTCAAAACAGGGTTACTTATGGACACAGCTGGTTACCGACAAGGGTAATTAGCCCTTTGCCCCTCATTTTACGGGTCCCCGTCTCTAATTACACCTAAATTCAGTCAGCAGGAATTTAGGAATACATAGTCACAAAGGTACAAACCACTGTGCCCTTCATTGATGCCTTTCAAAGGAAAGAAAAAGGCCTCATGGTAATCTATAACTTCTGGCTTATTGATCTTTAGGACTATGACATTAACAATAATATAACACTATAAGATATCTTTGTTGTTGTGAATGCCTCCTTTGATATCCCACTCTGAAGATAATATCCTTGAGTCTTTGGTGAAAACTTTAGCAAAGTAAGCAGCTCAACTGAGCCAAGAAGCAATTAACTGCAATAGTCAACTCATAAGCTAACCCATATAACACATCAGGGTGAGTTATGAGTTAACGTTTGGGTTGACTATATCAGTTAATTCACCCCATGTTATTAAAGAAAGCATTTTTATTACAATAGGAGGTTTTGTTTTGTTTTGTTTTGTTTGCAAAAGACAAGATGGATGTATGAAAGTTTTACTTTTCTACAGATGCAGAAATGATCGTGACTCCTCTCTCACGGGTTCAAAGAGTGAATTATACTGACACATTAGTATTCAAAGCCAATTCAATTAAACCAAGTAAGTAGAAAGTACCCAGGGATCTTCACATTTCTAGTCTTGACCTTGCATGTCAGAATAAGGATACAATATCATGCTACCTTTTAAAAAGCCCATTTTCAAACTTGACACCTGAACTACGAAGCAATGACATTTTTGAATGTCAAGATACACTAAAGTGGATCTCTCAGTACTATGGTGCCCACAAAAGCTTAACTTTTAACACTTCTAGCTGAGACAGTTACAAATTTTAAAATAATCAGGATCCAAAAAAAATGAACTAAGTTATTTTACATTAGAATTTTACAAACTAAAAAAAAAAAAAACAAAACAAAACCAAAAAAGCCTCCAAATAATACTACTTAAAAGTTTCCACTCATTTATAAAACTCAACATTCAACCAAGTTTATGCCTCAGATAGGGTACTATAGCAACAGCAGCAGAACCTTACTTCTATATTTTCCACAAAATGCATTGATTCTGGCTTTAAAATAATATGCTTATACAATAAAAAGGAGACCCATAATATTAAAATGTTAATATAAAAACTCTATCCAAGTTTTACTGCCAGGAAAGCTGTTCTTTTACAAAGGTAACAGCAACTTTACAAACAAGGAAAAACAAATCATCTTCATTCAGCTATTGCCATGGCCCTGTATAGACCATGCATATGCTAACACACATATTTATCTACATTTACTATTCCTATAGACATCGACATTGCTATGACTAAGTTAAAAGTATGCGGACACCTTCTGTTTTAGAAAAACATCATTACATCAAAGGACTGATAAAGTTATTCATAACAAAGAAAGTTTGGCCAGGGTTGGTGCCATTGCTTCTCAATAAAGTCCCCCACCCCAAAAGCATCCATAAGAAGACACCATAGAACTAAACTATTAACAAAGCAATCCATCATTCCAAACTCAGTGGACTATGCATCCATATCCCCTTGATTCAATCATTGTGTATCCTTAAAATAATATAATATTTACTCACTTTCAATGAATCAAAGCAGGCGATTACTCGTCCATTTTCAACTTGGCAGCTTTTCGAAGGATGTGCAAATTTACATTCCGTGTCTGGCCGTGAGCAAGTCCCCCTTTGGAACTCTCTACATACTTCCAGTGTTAGCCATTTTGTGTCCCGAATTGGTGTGACACTAACAGCCATGTTTAGATTTTACAGGTAGTTAAATTTTGCAGTGAAACCAACAGACCCAGCCCCCCACAAAAAAATAAAAATAAAAATAAACCCAGCAACAACCAAAAAAAAAAAAAAAAAAAAACCACCAAAAAAAAAAAAAAACTCAAAAAGCTGAACTGATAAGACTGTAAAAGGCTGATGAAAATGTCCCCTCCAAAATACTTTTTTCCCCACTCCCTGCTTTAAAAGTACATGGAAAACTGTGTTGTCAATATCAAGGAAAAGATCTCCCACTAGAAATTCACAGCATGAAACTGTTAATTCAAGAGGTTTTGGTTTACAGAGAAATACTAGAATCGTAAGTAGATGAACGTTTAAAAGTAGGGCCTCGGATCAGCCTTGTGCTCTCAGTAACCCCTTCCCAGTGCCAATTTGGAGCCCAAAATGCAAGCATGAAAACGTGGCAGACCCTTTGACACCGAATTTCCAAGCTGCTTTCAGCAAAGTTGTCTGAAAGGGAATCTCCTCACAGCTGAATTTGCAATGGAGTTTGGTGGTGCAATCGGTATTGATTAGTTTGGCATAGACAGATGCAGCAGTTTAGAGCAAATCGAGAAACTGATTTTTTTTTTTCCTCCTTGATTTCCTGGCAGAAGAGATCTGACTTTTTCAGCAAACTTTTCTTTTAAAACTAAAGCAGCCTAGGGCAATGCCAGATACTTAGAGCTTTTGTCTTGATTATAAGTAGAAATGGGGGTGTCTGGGCTAGAAGTGGAGGGTGGATGTGCTGTCGTCACAGTCTAGCTGGCAGCAAGCAAGGCAAAAGCAGAGACTGCTCTAGAAGCGGGTCCAAGCAGCAGAGACGTCAGGAAAGGCACTTCTTAGTACCAACCTGTAGAAAAAAGAGATAGGTTAAGATTTACTAAGTAGCACTTCACTGATGTCCTACAGTATCACAACCTTGCCATGTGCTACCAGACTAAGTAATATTCAAGTCAGCTTCTCTCTCTCTCTGTCTCTCTCTCTGTCTCTCTCTGTCTCTCTCTCTGTCTCTCTTTCTCTCTCTCTCTCTCTCTCTCTCTCTCTCTCTCTCTCTCACACACACACACACACACACACAATACTTACAGTGAGGCATATTGCAGCCAGCCATCGTAGATTTATTAAAAAAAGGGGCCGTTTCCCCTTGTGAAGCAATGCATGATAGAGAGATAACCAATCACAGATAGTGTTGCAGCAATATTCTGGGCAGAAAGCCAATAGTGTGGGTTGTCTTATGAAAGGTCGCGCCTGTCAGACGTTCATTACTATGCTATAAGCACAGAAAATGTCCATCAGATGTGACTTATTCCACTGCAAGAGGACGAGCATGTGGGTTTTGAATTTACCCAACATGCAGTTAGTGGACTAAACCATGTTAGTTTCCAAACAGCTTCCAAGACAAGTCCAAGCACTTGAAGATCATCGCCGGGGAATAAAAAGCAAGGTTTAAAAATTGCAGCTGACTTCCAAGCTGCTTTTCCCTCCGGCTCTGCGCAGGGACGGGCACTGAACAGCCTGCTCCTGCTGTCCTGACACGTGAATAAAAAAGGAAAGGGGTGTTTACAAATGGTACATTCTCCTGACCTATCCAATTCACTTCCTTCTAAAGCCCAAGTCCTGCCCCTCCACTGAAAGCAGCACTCATACTGTAAAACTATTCCATTCAGCCGGCAGACACTTTGTCAATATATCACAGGCGGGCGAGATAGGAACAAAAGCATCCTTTATTTGAACATTTTTTAAGCAGAAGCTGAGGTCATGTGGGGGAAAAAAGGAGTGTAGTGTTGTCAGTGTGTCTGGCAAATGTGAAGTCAACCTCAGGGGAGAGAGTGATTCCATCGCAGAAACATTAAATATTAAGTGAGCAATTTGATTTGGGCAGCGTGATGTACTTCAGAGGTACGGAGGAAGCCAGAGGTTGGGGGCTGGGGGATCCCCTGTTGCCTAATGATCTATGAACTGGGAAGTACAAGACTGCTCGTTATAGCAGGGTATTTTTGCTTTTAACAACTTACTTTCTTTTTCAGTCAGGATGGAAAAACTTTCAGAAAATGCTTAGTAGTTACAGAAACAAAAGTACACGTTTCTTTTCCTTTTGAGTGTTACCAACAAAGGAAACAAAGCTTTAGTAACTCCAAAAGTTTCACACTCCAAAGAGGCAATGGCACAATATAATAAATAGTGTTTGATCACACTTGCTTCTTCAAAGGCCAAATACGGTCAATGGGAAACTGGAATATAGAATATGAATGTAGAAACGTAGAACATATATATAGACAGATATCTAGCAGAAGTTTTAAAAATTTATTTTAGGATTAATACAGCCACTCTTAATACTAATTAAAAAAAAAAAAAAAAAAAACAGATACCAGGTAGGTGAAATACTGTAGTAAGACTACAACTTTTGAGAAAAGTTCTAAAGAACCAACTCATACCAATGCTCAAGAAGTACTTTTGTTTTCAAAAAACTTTCTGGTTCTAATTTCTGGTTGTACAAAAACAAAGTTGAGTCAGTCGTAAACCCAAAGATTCACCCACCCTTCTGGATTTTTGCTCCACATTCAGAATTTCTCAACTATTTTGTACCTTCAGCATGTACCCATCTGGGTCAACAACCCCTGTTGTCTTTCTTGCTAAAATTTTCAAGCACTTCACCTGCAACCATACACCTCCTTTGGAAGCCAGCTAAGAGATCGCTTCCTCCAAGAAACTTCCAAAATGTCGCTTTATCCATCCCTGCCCGCTCATCATTAACATGTCTTTTCTGAATTACTTTGGCATCCCTATACAGTGTGTTGTTTGCTTATATGTATGACCCACGAAACTATATGTTTCCCCAAACAGAAATAAACCCACTCACCTCATAACCCCAATGCCCAGCACAGGGATGGAAAATGTATGGAGCTCCATAACTTGGGTAATTAAAGGACTGATTACTATATCTGTACTGGAATGACCTCTAGGGCACAAAAATATGCAAACACATGCATGAACAACCATATGAACCACACATGAACACAAACACACACCTGAAAACACACACACACACCCATCAGTGTCTCTATCAATTACTATATCCCAGGGTCACTTAGACCCTCCTGCTGTCTAGGAATCCTCCCCCAGCCCTGGACAGCTCCCTCTGACATTCCACAGGACAGCTTTTTGAAAACTTCAACACTTTCAAGCCCCTTCTCTTCCATATTCTGCTAACAGCAGACAATGATCTTCTGTGGAACAAATATTTCATAGTCAAAACAGGAGCCCTTAGGCATGAACTCCCTGTCACCTTCCTGTCACCCATTTTTACACTATCTTTCTGCATCCTTCTTTTGGTCTCCCAGTTGTCCCTCCCCTTGCACACGGTCAGGCTTCCACCTTCACTCGTTCCTTCTCAAAACATCTTTCTCTTCACATTCCTTCTTCTACCTTCAAATGACCCTGCCTTACCTCAACTCTTTCTCTCGGTCCTCAACATGCTGAAGTAGCTCCAAAATAGAAGAGGCGGCAGGGAAGGAGAAAGGGACCCCGCCTAGCTATGCATCCTCCCCTCCCTAATACTCTTAATCAGCTGTTCCCAGACCAAGGGCTAAAGAGCCATCTACGCATGCCATTCTTCTGCTTCTTCCGTTTTGAATCTGTATCACTGTGACCTCCACACTCATTACTTTACTGTTAAGCAATGGCCGACAAAACTCCAAATGAAGCCAAATCCAAAGACTATGCTAGTCCTTGTCTTTACTTGACCTCCACCAGCTCCCTGTTAAAGGTTTCCTCTCGTCTTGAACTGCCACATTCTGTCCTTTTGGCTTCTCTCACTGCTGCCCCTCTAGTATCTTCCCACATAGAAAGGAGCTGCCCAGAGCTGGGGAAGGTTCTTGGCACATGCCACGCTGTTGTGGGCTCCTGGGACTTGTTACATGCTAGCCCTTTGTTTGGTTTGACACGTACGTCCTCACCCCTTCAACCTGGTAAATCTCTTCTCCTTGTTTAAGCTGCTATTCAAATATCACCTTCTCTCTAAGGCTGGGCCAACTATGCCAAACATTGTTCCATCTCAGGATATTCTCAGTACTTTTTATCTCCTGGTGCTTTTACCCCCAAAGTTATAAATTCCCTGACAACAGGATCTATTGCCATTTTTTTTTTAATCCCAGTTCCTGGAATATAATAGTTGTGTTTAAAATATTTGATAAATGAATATTTTATTCAAATTGACAGAATAGACATGTATATAAAGGACATGTCCCTAACAGCAAGGAAATATTTCGTCATAATCTATGGGGACCAAACAACATGAGAAAGGATAATGGTACCAGCAATACCTTCGCTGGTTGGTGGTTATGTCTAAAGACAACCACAGAATCAATTTCTAACGTTGATTATTTTTCCTTTTTGATATGTTACAGGCTTAATCTCACTCAAGCATAAAATATCCTTTAATTAAAATGTTTGCAAATGGGTATTCTGGGTATTTTTATTTTCTGTAGCAGAGATACTCTAGTCACTTCAAAAAGGGTTATCAACAGAATTACAGATATATACGTATTGGTAAACTGAAAATACTACTTACTTGTAAAATATATAGGCAAATGTGATAATCAAAGTGTTTATAGTTACCTAGGCACAGAGCCCGAGCAATCAAAACGGACACCAACCTTTATGCATTATTAGTGTAGCTGCACCTGCCAATGTGGGTTCCAGTCCTTGATACAGACCACCAGGGGGTAATGACCTGAGATTATACCTAAATTGCTGATATCAGATTATGGTCTTGTACTCTTTCCCTTTATTCAAACAGAAGGGTTTCAGGGAAGACTGGAAATCTTCATAATTGAAGGTTTTGGTAAATTAAGAGGGTATAGGATTTGGATCAATACTAAATTTCCAAAATGCTGTTTCAACTAATAATGGATTTTTATTCTATAGAGAGAGACAATGTTTAAAAGTATGTGGGTAATGTCCAGATTGTGAGAATTATTACAAACATGTTTGCTCTAAAAATGTGTTGTTTGTAAATAATTACTAAAGAAAATATTTCTCCGGTAAAGATATTTACTAACAGATAAATTGCTTCTGAGGTAAATTTCTGACCTATATTTCGACATATTATAATAAACTTCCCTGAACAACAACAAAAAAAAGATTGGAGAATAGTTTTACTGTAAGAATCAAACTTTTTTAAAACCTACATAATAAGCCCTCTTTTACCAAATGATCAAATTCCTAACACTAAAGAGCTTCTCATTATGCAACACGTCCTACAAATAAGTATATTCTGCCATAACCAAGAACAGTGCACTCTCCTTGAGTGATTATCAGAAATCACGTATACTTTCTACTTTAAGTTATGAAGGGGGAAATAGAATAGAAAGGAAAAGAAGAAAATATAAAGATAGAGGAAAGGAAGCTAAGAAAAGGACCAAGGATAAAGTAAAAAAGTGTGGGAAATTAGTAATAATGAATCTCACAGCAACTGATGCATATTAGCATGAAAACTGACAGCGGATGGCTTCATATAAATATCTATTTAAGGGCTGCATACATACTGCAATAGAGGATAAGCAGACACTTACAAGGCAGGAGTAGGAAATTCTGTTTTGGAGAACTGGATGGCCTCTATGAGCATAGTTAAATTTCTTATTCATATATGTGTAACAATCATTTCAGTTCTTCTGAACCAAATATAGGCACTTTGGTCCTACTGCATCCCAGAGTAGTTAGCTGGGAATTTGGGGGACTTTTTTCATAAGCTTTTGATTTTGAAACAGCTTACATATTGAGGAAGTTAACAGAGTAATTACTTGAGGGTTTGTTTGTTTGTTTTTTTTTAATTTACTAAGACAGCTTTAATCTAACTGGAAAAGATAGCCAACTTCATCATCTAATGTTCAAAGGTGACAAGAAGTGGCCCCTTGCCCCAAACCATAACTCCCCGCCCCCCCCCCCCACCCCAGGATCACTGATGTCAACAAGTCCATAATTAGCAATGCATTACTTCAGGGAATTAACTCCTGGTACAATTTTGCCCAGGGCTTGCCCCAAATATTAACAGAGATTTCAGTATACAAACCAACTAATCATTTCAGGAAGCTATACAGCCATTTCTCTACTCATTAAGGTACTAAATAGAGTAACAAGGCCATTAAGTTATTACATGGGGAAAACTATGGTCTGAATGGGTTAATGCAGTCTTCAGCAGTATTCAACTCCATATAACAAAAAGCTGAGATCAGTGTTTCTCAGCAAGGGGTAAGCACAGTACTGGTAGCACCCATGGCAATTTTAAGTGATGCAGAAACAACATAATTTTAATAGATGCATCAGAATGCAAAAACTAGTTCATGAGCCTGTGATTACATGCATATCATAACTTAG